AAATTTATCTGAATAACTGATTCTGATGTTGAAGTGAAGGGGCAGTCAACGTAAGTAAGTGGACATCCATTAATCACGTGATCAATTTTTTAAGAATTTTTAGACCTCCCTCCCTTGGTTATACGTCGTAATATTTAGAACTACTTCACCCCCCCTCCACCAAACATCACGTGTATTTTTAGTTATGTAAAATTTCCCGAACAAATTATTCGAATTTACAAATAAAAACTTGTTTTTTTTTTTTTTTTTTTGAAAATCTAAGCAAAAAATAAATACATGTTATATCTTGCTAGACCCCTGATCTTTTTTAACCCCCCCCCTTCCCCCTTCCAGTAAAAGCCTGAAGTGATTAATGGAAGCCCCTTGACTTATATCGATGGTTTACTCACTGCAACACATACCTCTTATAAATGTCCCTGGGATATCTAAATTGTCATTGTAATTGTTAACCTAATCTGAAACTGTTTTCGTTTGAATTGAATTTGCACATTTTTATAATTAAGGTTTTTATATATTATTGCCACGATTTATGTTAATTTATTAATTTTTGAATTACTAATGAAAATTTCAACATTTGTTTTTGAATTATGTTGTGGAATGCCTATCGACTCTTGAGAAATTTGAAAAACTCTGAAAAAATTCCAAGATTCTCTCAAAAATAGTTTTATCTTCAGATTTTAATATTAATCTTCTTCCATTTTTGTTGGTAAAATGCTCCTTCTGCAAGATATTTAGAAACTATATATTTTTTGCACACATAGGAAAATATTTGTGAAATGGGAAATTCCTGTGAATCAGATTATGCAAGAATCAATCGAAAATTTGACACATCAAGTTTTAAAGATAGTAACCTTTCCTTCGCCAATATCTAAGAATTGTTTTGAAAAATATTCATAAGCTCAGAAAAATCCTGGTCAAAAATTAATGAAAAATATTCACAAAAAAGACGATAATTGATCAGTTTTCGAGAGATCACTATTATGCAATAAGGATTTGTGGTAGGATAGAGAAAAAATATTTGCATATATTTTTAAATTCCACGTGAAACAAAATATGTTAAAGAAAATTGACTTCTTGAAAAAATGTGATCGGGACAACCCTTGATAAGTTTTTTTTTTCAGTAAAATTTGAGGTTTTTCAAAAATTCAAGGAATTCTGAATTAAAATTAAGTCTAAAACATTCATGGACTAAAAACTTGATAAAAATTTATTATTAAAATTACTTTTACGAAATAGAAGCTTTCAGCAGAAGGGTAAAAATTTAGGGCTGTATTTGCTCATAATGAAATTCTTTTATCTTTATTCTATATAAGTTATTCAGTTATGCAGTTACAATTTAAAGGGTATCGTTTAAATTTTCTAGAAAAAATATCATACAAGAATTAAAATAGTATTTTTTAGCAAAAAACCTTTGTTGACATGATTTGAATTAGGATAGAAAACCAGTCATTTAATCAAAATGTTGTTCAGGAAAGATTTTTGTTTAATTCTATTTAAGCCATTTTATGACATTTAATGACTTTTTTGTTGAAATATTAATATATAATTATATTTTTTTTTTTTTTTAGAATGTCGTACAGGCGAAGCAAAATTGACCCAAGGACACAATTTACCAGCTCGATACATCATACATACTGTGGGTCCTAAATTCAATGTGAAATATCAAACAGCAGCAGAAAACACTTTGCACTCTTGTTACAGGTAAAAAATTTAGTAAAATAAAATATACTGTTAAAGATATTCAAGCAACAAGCTATTAAATCAGGCAAAATTATCCATTCAATTTGAAAGCGCTTAATTTGAATATTTTTAGGTACTTCTTGATTTGATAGTTTATTTGGATTCAATTTTGCCAAACCATTTTTTGTTATTTGATTATGATTTATTAAAGATATTCTTTAAACATTCATTGGACGTCATTCTGATATTTTGTCCAATCCTAATTATATATTTGAAAATTTTGAATTTTTTGTTATACTTTCTGATCTTGCTACTCTAGAAGTCCACGACGTTCTCTTGATGGGATTTTAAATATCCCTAAGTTTTTTTTTTTCCTTTTTTGGATTATTAATTATTAATTAGCTTATGAAATAAATCGAAATTATGTTTATATTTTTATTTTGATTTTTCAGAAGCGTATTACATAAATCCCGTGAACTAGGTCTACATTCCATAGCTCTTCCAGTCATCAATTCCGTCCAGAAAAATTATCCTCCCGATCAAGGAGCACACGTGGCTTTGAGTAAGTCATTTTTATTAATTTCATAAATGAATAAAATAATTTATTACTAAATTGTAACTGTAGATAGGTTGAAAGTCAGTCAAAATACCTGATGTACAGGCGACTGCCTCTAAAAGGATTTGAAATTGAAATCGAGAAAAAATTACCATTGGTTAGAATATGATTTAAAAGTAAATTTAATTTTATTATTATATTTTACTGTTTTCAGGATTATATAATCTGAAAGCAGATAAATCTATATTCAAATATTTAAATATTATTCAATACAATTCGATCGTTAGAACAGAGAGTATTTCATTAATGTTATTTGATTACCTAACAATTATCTTGAATAAATGTTTTGAAAGTCGTTAAGATTATTCACTGTATCAAATGTTTTGGTACAAATGATTTCACTCATACTATTATATCGAATATATTGAATAAGACCAAAGATATTATCGTAACTAATTTGTTTATTAATTCTCATATGTAGGTCAAATTTAATATGAGCAAGCAAATGATTTTTGCATACATAAACATAAATGCGAACATGTTGAATTTAAAAAGTCACTACATTATTCATATTTTTGTTACTCATCGATAATGGTTTTCCATTTTTTTCAATAGTTTATTTAAAAGCTGGTAATTATTTTATATATTGATATTAATCAAATATATTTATTTTAGGAACGATACGAAGGTTTCTCGAAACGTACGGATCGACGATGCACACAATAGTTTTAGCACTTCAAAATTCAGATGCAGGCATCTATGAGGTAAAATATTGTAAAAAATATTTTACAAATCATTTTGTTAAATTAAAAGCATGAAAAAGCATTAATTGTTTGAATCCAAACATTCTTTGTGGCTGAGATCTGCCAACATCCATTTTTATACCGCTAAGGTATTAAGAAATGGCCACACTTATTTTTTAGATTTCTGGACCAATTTATTTAATTTTATTTTTTTAATAATTTATGATTGAACAAGAGATACAGTCCTAAATTTTTATCCTTTAACCACAAATAACTCTTTCGAATAGTCATCATAATATAATAGTCATAATTTTTCATCCTGCTTTCAGTCAATGAACGTTTTACACGGATTTTTTTTAGCTTATGGAAAAACTTAAATTTTACTTCAAAAAATAATTTACTTTTAGAAAAGGTTGTTCAAATAAAACACTTCTTTGCAATTTCTGAGTCAATTTTCTTCATTTAATTTTTATAAGTGTGAAATTGAAAAAATACTCACAACTCTACATCTTCTCCATTCTACCACAAATCTTATGTTTCATAATAGTCATTTTATTTTAAAAGATCAATTGTTTTTTCATCAGGTTTTTTTTATTATAACTGATCAATTTAAAGGCGTTTTATAAAGGTTTGGCATTAAATTTTATAAAGTTTTTTCTGTGCTCAAAAAAAAACCTTAAATTTATCCGCTGAAACATTTTCAAAGCAATTCTTAGATACTGACAACGGAAAGGTGGTCACCATTGATAAAACTAGATTTGTCAAATTATAGAACAGATTCTTGCAAAAATATGATTTGCAGGATTATTCCCATTGTAGAAATATTTCCCATATACACACACAGTATTTAGTTCATGAATGTCTTGTAGAAACAGCAAACATATTATAATCTGAAGGAACAAAAGTTTTTGAGAAGAAACTATAGGTACTATTCAAATCTATGGCAGAGCTGTATATTTTCCAACAGAGTTTTTGAAATCCCGCTCGATTTGCTAGACAATGCCCATAGATAAACAAGTATAATGGACATGCCACATGGTCGGATTTTGCTTCGTAATTCAAAAATTGATAAAATAATGACAAGCTCGAAATATATCAAAACCTCGAATCAGTGGCGGATCCAGCTTCGGCGTCAGGGGGGGGTCATAATTGAAAAGTTTTTATAGTCCTCAATGAGTATGTAACAAATATATATATATATATATATATATATATATATATATATAAGATAGAGCGGGGCTTAAATATTTGCGGGTAAAAAGGTCCACAACCGATATCTCAAAAACAAGTAAAGTTGAGGATTTCTTAACAACAATATTTGAAAGTAGAGGAAAAAATGTACAACTAGCCATCACCCTGATTCTTACGACGTTAAAAAAAGCATTTCTACAAAAGATAAATTAAATAAATCTGTATTTCAACTCTGCTGCTGACTATTTTGGACAAAATATCAAATTAAGAGACAAGATATTGGACAAAGTATCAAATACAGAGTTATCTCTGTAAAAAATGTATCTATAAAATTCATATTTTTTATTGGTTGAGTAATGTAGCTATTATTTCGTTAAATCCTTTTAAAATTAAAATATAGTAAATTGGATTGTTTGTCCTCTCGCCGTCCGATTTTACCACGCCTTTGGGGTAAAAACAGACCAAGTGACAAATTTTTTAAAAACAGCAAAAAAAACACATTTTTACAGTGATGAATTAACTGGAGGTTGTACTAAAACATAGTCAGATGGTTGTTTTCACAATATAATTGCTCAAATTTACTTAGCCTTACCTTATGTATGTGTATTTCTTAAAAAACAATCTGCGTCTTTGACGTGAGTCAAAATTTGATCTTTCCTCGATGTTTTCTCCTCTAAACCGATGTTAAAATTTAAAAACTATAAAATGAAACTGGATAAGCGCTTGCTTTGATTAGTTTTTTGAGACAATTGGTCGATCCGTTTCTTAAAAATTATCGTCCATGTTTTTGTAAAAAATTCTTAACCGTTTTTTATTCGATTGATATCATTTGGAAATAAATAGTTTCTGTCGAAGATCGGTCAAGTCGTTTCTTTTTCATAATAGATTGTCACATTTTTTGGCGATTTAAGTGAAACTTTGCATGGCGATAAATTTTCTACTCTAAATGTACGTACTAAACTATAATAAGGCCTGCGACAAGTGCTTTTATTCCAGCAATTTGCCTTAAGGCACGATGCCATACACCCCACTAGTTTATATATTGATTAAGTCGTCTATTTACAGATGTAAGGATTAGTAAAAGTTCATGCATAAGGACCACTCACAATCAGTTTATTATTTGAATGAAATTTTGTTCCTGAACTGTAATAAAACATATATTCGCAATACGATTAGAGAATCCTTAAATTTTAGGATTTTTGACTCCGTCATTCGTCTACAATCAGTTAAATATTCAAGTTATAAAATGTGTTTTGTAACAAAATACATAAACAAAATCATTATGAAGTAATTTTGTTGTTGAATTAGTGTTTTATCTAAGTCCTAAAACAGGCTCAGGGGGGGGTCATGACCCCCGTGACCCCCCCCCTGGATCCGCCACTGCCTCGAATATTCAAATGTACCAATTTAGTTTAAATGAAATCAGTTTAAGATTAAGCTGGCACTTGCAAAGACTTTTAATATGTCCCAAAAACATTCATATGTGACATGCGTTGCAGTAGGTAAACCATACATTTAATTTGTATTAGCTGTACCTTTCACTTACATACCACGTGCATCCACATTCACAACCACTTAGTAATATTTGGTACTAAAATTTTTTTAGTAATATTTTATATGCCTCAGCCATTTTTGCCGGGTCAGAATATATACTAGATGAATTCATATTATTTTTTATATTTTTTTAGGTTCTCCTGCCGTTGTATTTTCCGCGCACAGAAGCGGAAGAAGAATCGGCCCGGTGGCAACTTCCAGAAAATATTGGAGGTCTATTAGGAGAACCTCTTCAACCAGATAGGCAGATCAGAATTATTGACAATCCTAGGCACGCTGTCACACTGAGTAAGTAATTTTATTTATATTGCAGGAGCTAGCAACATTTTTGAGAGAAATTTTCAGATCATCTAACTTTTTGTTCTGTCGTTCTCCTTGCTCTTGGTTAAAATTTGAGCCACCTTGGCTGGTGGTAGCGGTTGCATTTTTCAGAATTTGATTTTTTGTAATGTCATTAAGTCGTTCTTCTTACTCTTGGTTAGAATCTGAACCACTTGGCTGATTGTAGTGGTTGCATTTATTTACCTTATTTGTACAGGTACAAATTCAAAAATTAAAAGAAATTTAGCAAGTCTTATTCATTTTTTTTTAATTTTAATAGACTCACATTTTTCGTCGCCAGACTTTTTATCCTTTTTCTTAAACTATTTTTACATGTCTCTTACTATAATACTATATTAATTAAAGATATTTTTTATCTTTGCTAAACGTTAGTTCGATTGTAAAATTTTTATCAAGCTTGTCCAAATGATGAGATGTCTAATAAATTATTAGTTTTTGGTAAAGACCAAAGGTAAGCCAAGCCATTTCTTCGTAATCAATTATTATTTTTTTATCTACAAATTATTGACGTATATGTCCAATGCCTTTGCGTATTTGTTGACTTTATTGAATTATACCTTATCTAATAGATTATACTTTTATGACTGTACTGCAACTGATAGTGGACAAAGTTTTAGTTTACAAGTGCGCGTGAAACACGATTATTACTAATAATTATGAATAGAAAATATAATAATTTAAAAAATAAATAACTATTGATTTATTTGCTGTGCGATACTAACAAATTATAAGTTTTGGATACAAAATGAAGCATGATAGGACAACCACCAGTGGTAAGGAAAAAATTCAAACATATCATTAGTAATAAAATTTAGTATAAAAGTACCATTGTAGATTTCTGAACACTTTGGCATACCTAAAAAATGAATTTATATATCTGTGTATGCGGATTTTGAAAGCATGGATCTACCGATTTGAATGATTCAAAAAAAATTCAGAGATCTTCGTATGAATTGATGGTGAAAACTGTCAACAAGCTATACATTTTCTGTGCGATCATACAATTTCACACAAGTTTTTTATAAATTCAACATGTGTGAAATTTGTAGCTGATGCTTTGGTTTCAATCTTAGATAGAATTTAGACATTCTCGTCTAACGGCAGATGGCTACAATATTATTCGCTTTTTGTTTCTGTTGTATAAAAATAGTATTTGAGTTTAATTCGATAACACTTTTTAGGCAGGTTCTATCTTTATCCTATAATATAGAATTTTTTTATACCAGACTTCTAAATTTTTTTTCTAACCTAACCCTTCTAGTTTCTAATTTTATTCTATCTCAAATCAACAATTCAATTTCTGCTTAATTTCAATCCAATAAATTAAAGCGCAGTTATATGTCAGTGCCAGGACTCGAAGCGAGTATCCATGACGCGTGAGTCGGGCATGCTACTGACTGAGCTATTCCCGCCACTTCAATAGCTACTCATTGTTTACTAATAAAGAACTTTATTATACTTCTTAGTAATTTTATTATTTTAAGCGGAGAGAGGGGTTTGAAAAATAGTTTAAGGGTTGGATTAACTTCATAGGATGTGCACATAATTATAATTATTTTCTGTTAAATGTTAAAGGGTTAGAGTATCTTTTGTTGAAAATAACTCAAATAACACTAAAAGTTAAACAGGTTTAATCACAAATTTAATCCGGTTTCATTTTATTTCTACTACGCCTCCTTATGTAAATAAAACAGGATTACACAATCGTGACTGTTTAACGTTTAGTGATACTTGAATTTGTTTGTGGGATAGGTATTTACTTTCATGTATTTGCCAAAAATGCTCTAATGGTCAGATTGAAAAATATCTTTTTTCAATTAAAAAATATCTGTTCAAATTGGCCTGTGTTTATTAATCGATTACGTTTATGTTTGTTGTTTAAAATTATCGCATTCTCATTTGGCACATATGATTTTCTATTTATTATGTTATCAGTTGTTTGCATTTCGAAACACTAAAATCTGTGTTCGTTTTTATCTCGACGCGCATAAAATTAAACAACGGCACAGATTCCTAAAAAGGGAGGAAACGAATTCAACATAATTTTACACCATTGGAAATAAACTATTTTTATAATTAAACCACTTCTCATAGGCCTATAATATTTCATGGGGTTCGGTTTGACTATCAACTGTATGTGAAGTTTCATCAAAATCCCAAAAGAGTAAACCTGAGGGTTTCCTTGTTAGAACAAATGCGTTTTACTTTGTTTTAGTTTTTGTCGCACTCAACAGAGGGTTTATTGTACCGAAATTTATTACTTGTTTTTCAGAACTAATTCTCTAGTTATAATACACCTACTTTAAACGTTTTATATATTTGTAGTATTTATTTTTCTGCAAACATATATGAGCTTCAGTTGAAAATATATTTTGAACGCTTATTTTTTGTTCTTAATTTATTTATTCAAATTAAACAGCGTCACCTTTTCTACATTATATATATTTCAATAAATCTTATCTAGAATTAAACCTAGGGGTAAATTTACGTGCTACAGTTACTGGCGCACTCTATGGAGTGGGGTAACAACTAAAATTGAAGTAATGACAAAACGGACGCGTTTTCGATCTGTTTATATTTCTTTTACTCTGTTTTAGTTTTTGCCGCACTCAACAGAGGGTCTACTGTGCTCAAATTCAATTTTGTATTTAAAGAATGGATTCTCTAGTTATAATACACCTACTTTAAACGTTTAATATTTTTGGTATTTTATATTATTCTGTAAAAAAAGAATAAAAAGTGTTTAATACTTTAATAGTCATTAATTAATTAATTTTAAGTGTTTGTCATTAATTAATTGTATTAAAACGGTAATAAGAATAATATACAAGAGATGGGAAAGAAATGATTGATTTTGTGGTGCTTTTATACCATGGACCTGCCTTTGGCTAGACTACTATTTATTATTATTATATTTTTCTGAAAATGTGTTTGTGTATTAATTCAAAATATATTTTATACGCGTTTAGTTTGTTCTTAATTCATTTATTCAAATTAATCAGTGTTATCTTCTCTATATTATATATTTAAACCTTGGGGTAAATTTACGTGCTTCAGTTAGTGGCGCACTCTGTTGAGTAGGGAAACAATTAAAATTGAAGTAATGGCGAAGCGGCCGTGTTTGCGATCTAATCATACTTTTTTTAGCTATGCTTAGAATGATAATAAAATTACAATACAGAATATGTTATTACAATACAAAAGTACATTTTTAAAAGAATTTATATAGTTGCATAATTTTAATTACTGCAATAAAAATTAAGGTCAAGTGCAACAATTCTGAATCACATAATATTTCATTTATTGCTCATAAATTTGCTTTCAATTATTCACTTTTTTCGAAAGTTTTAGAATCGCAATTATCAAATTCGTAAGCGTCAAGTAATAATTTAAAAGTGATACATTCCGTTTGTACAGAAGCGAGAGTAACGTTACGTCTAAATGCGCATGATTTGTTGTTATTATATATTATTTTCGCAATGTTTTGTTCTTGAATAGTCGGAAAAATATTTCTTTGTTCGTGTTTAAATGTGTGTGGATCGAGTATTTTAGTTTTTTGTTCCAAACGCTTGTTGTTGGTCATGATCAATGAATCGTTCGAGTTGTGTGAGTATAAAGGATTTATATCCAAAATTCAGAGATTTTCGGAAATTGTTAGATTTTTCAGTTTATTGTATAAAAAATGTCTATTTTTTTAAATAATTAATATTATAATTTAATTATTTTATTCATTAATTGATCTAATAATCAACATCAAAATCAATCATTTAATTGAAATTAATTATAATCAAAAATGAAAATTTGTGCAAAATGCTTCAAAGTCTTCTGCACATTTTGGCATACCTTAGAAAATACGGATGTATGTATGTGTGTGTTTACGTGTATGTGTAGTATATATGATGTTTGGATACATTTTATCGTCAACGATTTCGAAAGGTTCAACCGATTTTAATGATTCAAAAAACATTTGATTCCTGGGAAGACGTTCTGATTATTTTTTGTCTTGTTTTATAATTTCATAAATGGTCAATCAGAGCATTATAATAGTTTACTTACCTTCATCATCCAATGACAGTATGAGCTAATTATCCTTGTTTTTGGAAAGGTTTCTCAAAAAAATGGAAGAAAATTCATATTACTACTAAATTTAATATTTGATGTTATTATAAATAACTGTATTGTATGTAAAATAAAATTACATTGCTTAACTCTTCTGTCAAAAAATTCTATGTTTCATTTTTATCAAAATTGTGATAGCTTCTATCTTTTGGTTGGTTATACCAAAATTTCTAAAATACCAAAAATATTTTCAATATTTTAGGAAAAAAATGGTTTCGAAATAGACTTACCCAGAAACGAATCATTCGAATTTGTTAGTTTGTTTTAGAAAATTTATTCATTCAATGATATATTACATAAAGGAAATGTGAGTAATTAATCATTCGAATTAGAAGCAAAAGTTTTTTTAGAGAGTTGTGAAATATAATATACCAGCTATATTAATCATAAAAATCACTTATTTTATATAGATCAAAAATAAGTTTTCGGGCAAATACTGAAAAATGTTAAACACAATTAAATTAAGGCAACTTAAATAAAAACAACCATTGGTTTGTCTCTTCTGATCCAAAATAATATTAATACTACTATAGAATTTGAGTTGCATTCTAATAGTAATTTTTAAATCTGACAACCTGCCATTTGTTGATTCGAGGACACCGGCTAAATTTTTATGACATACTTAATAGCGTCTTTAATAAGATTCTATTCTTATCAAATATCTAATATTTTCTATTACTAACATATTATAGATGGTTACACTATATATTATTACTATGTATTACATTATTATCTGATAGTATCTATTTCTTATCCTTATACTTTCTGCAAGAATCTTTCGGTTGAACATTTTATTGTTGTTATTATTTATTTATAGCATTAAATTTGTAAATAATGAATGTCATTAATCCCTAAGTCACACCTATTCGCCAGACATTACCTTGCTTATTAACATATATTATCAATATTATTTAACAATAAAATAAACTTTTATTTGTTTTTATCTTTTCAGCCGACGATGACTCAGTGTCATTATCTCTCAGTGAAGACTTCACCAGAATGCATGGTGATTTGGACAGGGAACGTCTTCTTGGAGAAAGACCTCAATGTGATCCTATTATTGACACCATGGCCAAGGAACTGAGACACCAAGAAAGGTAAATGATTTTTATATTTATTTCTAAACTATTAGATTCATGGTTTTTGCAAAAACTTAGATGATGCATGCATAAAAGTTCTGCCTTAAGGCAATGAAAGTCTAGAAGAAGATTAATATATTTGTTGTTATATCATGATGCTTTTTGGCGTATTGGTTAGGCACACTGCCTTGTGTGGACAGGGTTGCGAGTTCAAGCTTTTGCTCTGGATAACTTGACATCCTGCAGTAGCTATATCCATTTTTACTTGAAAACAGATCAGAAAAATGTAGCCAATTGAAAAAAATTTATTATGTTCCCTTCTACTACCCATGTTAGAAATGATCTCATCGTACATGATTTTTCTGTGAGGTCTAAGTACATAAAGTTTTATTTTATTGACACATCGATAAACGACAAATATTATAAAATCAATACTACAGTGTAAATTTTCTGCAATTCCACTAAATGGATAATTTATATATGCACATATTGCATTCTCCTTGGAACTTAGTTTATTTCAAAATATCAATACTGATTTCGATAATTTGAATATCAGTGTCAAAATGAAGTTGGCATTGATCAATTTTATTTTTGATACGCTGTCAGAGATTTTTTTACAATTGACAATTCTATTTCATTTATTTATTTTGTTCAATAAATTGATAATTAATTCTTTTTGGATCTACTAAAAACGCCTGAGATCAATGCAGCTTATCAATTCCACAAATAACTCAAAATGTTACGTGAAAAAATTCCTATAATTAATAAAAATCCAAACGATTTGATATTTTTTATAGAAATGTCATCAATATGGTTTCAATAAATAATTGTAAGAAATTTCATAAAATTTTAAGTACATCAGAAAATATGCCTCGCGTAGTCTTTTCTTCAAAACGAGAAAGAAATAAAATAAATCTTGTTTTTAAAAGGTTAGTAAAAATATTTAAAATTGTAGTTATTATGCATCGATTTAATTTGTAGCTTCAATATCAGAAATATCTACATTTTACTAAAATTGAACGTAACTCTTTTTAACCTGGAGCATTTGTTCCCAAAATTAATATTTTTTTTTAATATTTTAAAGATCATTTTGTTTTACATTTTTATTCATCAAAAATAATATGAATATTCTAGACTTTTTTTAATTTAATAGTATGCATATGCCAACTTATTTAAAATTTCACTGAAATTTAACGTAACGCTTTTCACCGGAAAAATTTGTTCCCATAAAAAATATTTTGATATTAAACACCATTTCGTTATACATTTTTTTCCTTCAAAAATTAATATGAATAGTTTTGTTTGATCATGAATGTTTTAGTCTTATTTTTAATTTAATAATATGCATATGCGTAATTATTTAAACGTAATTACTTAACCTTCTAAATTTAGTACAGAATGAAATCTTGAAAATTTACTCTACATTATCTTAAGATGATGAAAAAAATATTAAAAATTATATTAAATCTGAGATATTATAAAGAGTTCTAAATACCTTTATCTAATAATAATAATAATGTTTGTATCTAATAATAATAATAATATTTTTGTGAATTGAAAATGGGCACTATAGAACTTTTTATAAAATATTAACGTATAAAATAGAGATTTATCATACAAGTGATAAAAAACAAATATAGTCGTTAAACTGAAAAGTGCAAATTATTTAGCACTTTAGTCTCGGATTTATTTAAAAATCAGTTGTTCAAATATTGTTTTATAGATATTGATACAAGTTCGAAGAATCAATCAATTTACAGTTAACCAGTGCCAATTTGTAAAAAAATTAACGGATACTACGAATTGCTTAACTAAAACCAATTATTATGTCTTATAGACAAAAGTGCATCATATTAAAAATAATCATAAAAAAAATCAAAATTTTCGAATACCTCCAAATTCTCAAAAAAATCTATTTTCTATATGCATCATATTAAAAAAAAAAACGATAAAAATGTTATTTAATATTTATGCTATGTAGTAAATACTTTTTAAAATTAAATTCTTTATCCAACCGTTACAATATGTTCATATAACTTTTTTTTTAATTTAAGCACTAATATATTATACACCTATATGGGTATATGTTATGGGTGTTTTTCCAAAGCAATCAATGTAATAGCTATAATGATATAACCAATTTATCATAATTCCATAACACATATGAAATTATTTCCTGACATTTTCCTGATTTGTTAAACGATTTATTTATTACCAATCCTGGTAATGTAATAATGAATTAATCGGCCTCAAACGATTTGTCGGATGACGAATGAAATTCACGTGCTCGTATTGTTCTATGTTATTGATTTCATAGTGATTTTGTTGACATTGTAATTATATGATTGTAATGACACTGGTTTGTATAATACATTGTATGATGGAAAATTAAAATGCCAATCATATGGGATAAACATGTGGGAAAATGCTAAAGACGCGCGTTCTTCTAATTTACTTACTACATATATCTGGATCATGAATAAAAATTCAATTTTCCACATTAAAGGCAAATTTATATTCCAATTTGTATCGTGATTTACTACTCATTCAGGTTATTGAACAGAGACTTCTACGCAATTTCCCAGAATTGCTTCTAAAAATACGATCCGAATCATCAATTTTAATTTTTCTCATGAATAGCCAAAAGTATTTTTGGAACTTTTCTTGCTCAAAATACGAAAATATTTTCTTATTTCTTTGAAGGTCACGATCGATAGAAACATAATTCAATAATTCAATATACTTTGTTCGGTTTCTTCACTAATCACATTTACCACAAAAGCTAAAATTATACTTATTTTATTATTTCTATATCTTGTTTAACACAATATTACAAAACCGGTGTAATTCATTTATTCATAATCAGGATGAACAATGGTTTCCTAATAGATATAATAAAATTGTTGCTATATTGAAAACATTTTGATGTAATTCAAACAATAAGCAGACAATACGCAAGATATCTTTATATTGTGCTGAAATAAGTTATGTCTACACAATTGTTTAAATAAATAATATATTTCAATACCGATCAAAACACCTTGTTTAAAGTATAGTGAAATCAGAGAATTGAGATTTAGTACTTTAGATAAAAAAATTTACTGCTTGTTAAAAAAAATAGATATTTTGCTTTCACCAATCAATGTGATTTCCTATTGAAAACATTAATTTTGCAAGGAATATTTTTTTTGAAAAGTAAACTGTTTTTAATATCTTAAAAGAACTATAAATGTTAGCAAATAAATATTATTCTAGTCGAATTCCAATTTTAGTTTGTCTAAAATTATTAATATACAATAATAAATACTTCATATAAATTTTTAATGTGAAAACAGACAATTCTACGAGTCTTCTAATTTTTATTTCGAATTTGCAAATCGTGAAAATTTATTTAACCACTTGGATAACAGATCTTTTTTACCTTACCTTTTTAAAACTCTAAAACAGCTATGTAGAGCGATTGCTTTGAGAAAATTCTGAATTTTTCCAAAAAAATGCCAAAAAAAAATTTTCATAATTTTCAAAGCTTCTAAAGATTATTTAAATGTTTCGGAAAGTTCCAGCAATTTTTCTAAAGACAGACGATCGCTTTAGAAGAAATTCGAAATTTTTAATGATATTCTAAATTTTCAAAAAAATCCATTTTTTTCATAATTTTCAAAATTTTTTAGAGCTTTATAAAAACGATACCAAAAGTTTGAGCAATTTTCCTAAAGGCGATCGCCTTCTGGAAAAAATTCAAAATTTTTAAAAAATCATACATTGAAAAAAAAAAACAAATTTTTCCATAATTAAAAAAAAAATTAAATCATTTAAGAGTCATAAAGTATGGTACGGGAAGTTGCAGCAATTTGCCTCGAGGCAGCGCGAGATCGCTTGGGATATAATTCATAATTTTCAATAAATTTCAGAATTCCTAAATATTTTTTACATTTACAAAAATTTCAAGCTTTTATAAATCATAAATTACGGTACGAGAAACTCCAGCAATTTGCCTACAGACGATCGCTTTGGAAGAAATTCAAAGTTTAAACAAAAAGCTAAATTTTCAAAAAAATCTAAATCTTTTATAATTTTTAAAAAAAATTAAAGCTTTTAATAGTTATAAAGTATGGTACGGGAAGTTCCAACAATTTCCTTTAAAGCAGCACGATCGCTTTAGAAGAAATTCAAAATATTTTAAAAAAATCTTAATTTTTAAAAAAACCTAGTTTTTCTATAATTTTTTAAAAAAATTAAAGCTTTTAATAGTTATAAAGTATGTATGGTACGGAAAGTTCGCTTTTCGCGAACGCTTTGACAAAAATTTAAAATTTTCAATAAATTTAAAAATTCTCAAAAAATTAAATTTTTTCATAATTTTCAATTTTTTTTAAAGTTTTATAAAAACGATACGAAAAGTTTCAGCAATTTTCCTAAAAGTGATCGCCTTTTGAAAGAAATTCATATTTTTTTAAAAATTCTAATTTTTCAAACAAACCTAGTTTTTTACATAATTTTCAATGAAATTTAAAGTTAAAATAATTTCCGAATTTTCAAAAAAACAATTATTTTTCATAATTCAATAAAATGTAATGTTTTTAAAAGACATAAATTACGGTACTGGAAGTTCCAGCATTTTGCCTCGAGGCAGCGCGATGTATTTGGAAATAATTCAAAATTTACAAAAAATAAAAAAAAATCTCAAAATAATGTAATTTAGTACGAAAGTTCCTGCAATTTGCTTTAAGACTGACGATCGCTTGGAAAAAATCAAAATTCTCAAAAAAATCTAATTTTCTCATCATTTTCATAAATTTTTGAAAATTTTAAAATACGGTACAGAAAATACCAGCAATTTGCCTTAATACAAGCGATTGCTTTGAAAAAAATTTAAAATTTTCAAAAAATATAATTTTTCATAGTATCAAAAAAATATAAAGCTTTTATAGATCATAAATTCAAAATTTTCGAAAACCTCAAAAAAATTTTAAAATTCTCAGAAAATTTATTTGTATTCCAAATTTTCAAAAACTTAAATTCCTTTCAAAATTTTAAATTACAATAACAAAGTTTCAACAATTTGCATCAATCGACAATTTCGTACCCCACTAGTTTATTCGAAAATAATCGAGTTGCACCGTATCACCACTACTCCCACTCCCACTCCAGTCAACCGATATCACATTACCGCACGCTGCAGAATACTGTCCGCTCTAGTATATAAAAACGAGCATTTCTCCGTTTCTTCGTGCCTTAAACTAATGAGTAAGGAAAATATACGAGCCTAGTTGAGTCCTAGTGCTCAAATAGCAATTATCTCATTGCATTTATGCTTTGAGGATATTTTTGGAGAGGCAAAGGTCGTCCCCTTGAGCGTCTGTTCCTGGACACGTTCTTCCTGGTGCTCTCCTGCTGTCGTCGAAACGGAGCCTACTTCGCTCTGCTTTCGGCCCAGTTGGAGGGTTTGGGAGGATGTGCTCATACGGGTGTTCGGGTGAAGCGATCTGCCTCCGTAAGCAACCATAAAAAATCTTGAATTGAAAAGTTATTTTCAATTCAAAAACAATACATACACACACACAATGTATGCGACATATTGTTGGTATTGCCCAATTTTTATGCATGGTTATGGGTTATTATAGTTCACTTATTACATATTTTAGATCTGTGTTCATTTATATGGGGAAATATAAAGCAGTGTATTGTTTAAAATTTATAAATACTGTTATTTCTGATAGATATTATCAACTTGTGGTGTGCTTGGAATCGGTGTTAAGATAAAATGCTAGTACTTCTCGCAATAATAACACTAGTTTTAATGGGGTATTCTAGTATAAAAGTTTGAAAAAATTGTTTTTTTAATATTCATTTGAGAATATATGTACAAGAGGAAAATTCAAATTCTTCAATAATACACTAGTTTTAATGGAGTATTCTAGTACAACAGTTTGAAAAAATCTTTTTTTTATACATATACTTACATAATTTTCATTCAATTTCAATTTGAGAATATATTTATTTTATTACGAGAGGATTTTGAAAATTTAAATTTTTCTCAAAGATACAGTTATTTAGCCGTGATTATCTTCATCTACTTCCTTCTTTTTGCCAAACTTTAAACGCGTTTTTCTCGAAATTTTCAAAGAATCTACTTCAAGCTTCTCTCCGGTATATACGAGCCACAAATATCATATTTTACAATTTAAAAAAAAAAATCGAAAAATTCAAAAAGTGGCCAGAGAAAATATTTATTTTTCGAACAGTTGCCATTTCGTCTAATTTTGTTTAGCTTAATTTTGGTATATACCATTGGGACGTCATTCTATATTAATAATCTTTTTTTGTCACTTCCAATAATAATAGTTCAACAACCGCCACTTCAACAACTGCTAATTTTTGAAATTATTAACTTTTTTTTACTTTTTTCTTTTTTCCTATAACGTTGATAAATAAATTATGAAAAAATTATTATTAAAAAGATAATTGCTATTTTACAATGATTCAGAATAAATTAAAATTCATGCCTCTACACCCTTCCATATTTACTTTTAGTTAAAATTCATGAATGCACTCTTCTATATTTACACATAATTATTATAATTACTGCAAATTTCTTAGTTAGATAGTCCATAAATACATATATTTGGGCGACAACCATCTGATATATTTATAACAAACTGAGACAAATATAAAAAAATGAATGCTAACAAGGTCCTTCTAACAGTTATGTAAAATATTACCTCAAACTTCTAACAGTTATATAAAATATATAAACATTTGAAAACTTAATTGCAAAGTTACAATTAATTATTATAAATAAATAAATGAATTCTCAAAATTTAAAAAAATAATTTATTAAAAAATAATTATGAAAATTAACAATAATTTCAACTCTATAATATTGATATTTTTTAAAAAATGTTTTTTTTTATTCATGAAAATTCTGAAATTTCATGAAAGTTCTAAAAAATTTTAATAATTTGAAAAAGTAAGGTAAAAATAGATAAGTGTGTATGTAGTATGTATGTTTGTATTAATTAATTTTTAGTGAGTTTGAAATAATTAATTTTTTTGTTCACGATTTCAAAAGTCCTTATAAACCAATTTAAATGATTCAAAAAACATTATATTCCAATTGACGAGGAGACGTGCTGATTAGTTTTTGGTAAAGACAGGTCCAGCCGTTTTTGAGATACGGAGCAAAAAGTGCAAAAAATAAACTCATTTGAATAATCAATATTGTTGTTGATCATTAAATAATTCTTGTTGATTCGTTATTATTTTTATTCCTTAATGTTAAGACACGATGCCAAACACCTCTAGTTTTATTTCCATGTGCAAATTTTATACAGTATATTTCATATTTTCTTTTTATGTTTCATTAAACCTGCAAAAAATTGCAACTTGTGAACTATTTTGCAATTATAAACACTGTGCTAATTTTTACAGCCTTTATCGGATGACTAAATTCGAGCATAAATACATAAATATCGTTTTTATTTGGAATGTGCATATGACTAATTTCTGTACTACCTTGAAATAATGGTCACTCAATTATTTTATTGTATAAAAAGAACAATTAACATTTTTGGCAACAGCTCTAATTGAGACATTTTAATTTTTTCTCTTTTTTTTAAATTTTTTCTCTTTTTTTATTTTATTTATCACTTTAATAAGTGATTTTACTATTCTGTTCATATAAAGTTGTGATAGTTCTAAGGGTCCTCCATATTAGTTTTCTATTTTTTATTAAATTGAAAACGAGCCTGGTTGGTAAGAAGAACTTAGATCTAGTAAACCTTACATCATCAGCAATAAAAATTTTAGTATTTCACCAATTACCATTGTGTATTCAAAAAACTTTCCGAGCAAATCAATAACTCTACGTCATATAATATAATAGACTGTGTAAAGGGCGGATTATAATTAAAATTTGATAGCCCTATATAGTCGCCTACGCATCCAAAGTTTTATCGAAATAGAAATTGAAGATTTTGCGTCATACCATATAATTATGTTTCCTGAACCTCGAAATTATATACTCAGGTGTCGGGTGTAATAAATATTTAATTCGTTATGTGAATTCCGTGCATTCCGACAGAGTTTAATAAAAATAGTATTTTGTAGTAAATAAGAAGTAGAGAAAGAAATCTGTATCTCCAAATTATGTACGAAAAATTGCATTCAAACATACATACATCCATTTTTTCAAGGTATGCCAAAATATTCAGAAACCTTCAAAAACCATTCCAGGTATCGATCTAATTTCTACGCTATGATCTGAGTCATGAAATTATATTGAATATCCTCCTTTTGATATCTATTAAGCCCCTCCAAAGGATTCCGTTCGATTAAATGCGCATTGTAAATTCATTCCTACCTGTAGACAGGTAGATATACCTTTGTAATCGGTTGATAAACAGACGTTTAAATTGACGTACGTCATGCGAAATTACTGGCGCGTGTGTGCATAAAAAATGTATTAACCCTTTGAGGTAGTATAGTATCTGATGTTAGGGGATGTCGGAGTTAAGGGAATATTCGAAACAAGTTTTGTAACGACTTAATATTTAAAAAAAAAAACTGATAGAATATGGTGTTCTAAGTAAAATTGCTGGAACTTCTCGTACCATAACTTACATCTTTTAAGTTTAATTTTTTTTGTTGAGAATTTTGAAATATATTTATTTTGAAATTTTGGATTTTTTTTTAAATTTAGCCGATTTCAAGAATTAAATCTATAACACCTTAATTTAAATATGCTTAAATAAAAAAAATTGTTTAAAAATTTTGAGAAAAATATGGTTTTTTGGATTATTGGAAAATGTTGAAATTCAGCCAATTTAGAACTAAATCTGTTAAAGTAAAAATTTAAAGGTCAATTCTCGGATGAAATATGTACGTAAATGCTATATTACGGGTCTATATTATTTTAACAGCTTTATTTTTTTTCAAAATTTTGAAAATATTCAGGTTTTACTTTTAGAATTTTTTGATAATTTTGAAATTGGTCAATTTGAAGCACTGTATCTGTTAAAGTAAAAATATAAGGGTCAATTATCGGGTAAAATAGGTACGTTATGGCCATGCTACAGGTCTGTAATATTTCAAAAGCTTTAAATTTTTTGAGAATATTGACAAAACTAATTATTTGGAATTTTTTATATTATTTGATAATTTCGAACTTTGGCCAGAAGAACTAAATCTGTTAAAGTAAGAATTCCAGGGTCGCGGATAAAATAGGTACATCATGGTAATGCTGAGCTACAGGTCTATAATATATTAAAAGCTTTAATTCTTTTTGAAAATTTTGACGAAATTACTCTTTCTGAAATTTAGGGTTTTTTGAATATTTTGAACTTTGGCCAAATTGAAGGATTTAAGTTAAAGTAAAAATTTAAGGGTCAATTCTTGGATAAAATAGGTACGTTATAGTAATGTTATGTTACGTTTCTATAATATTTTACAAGCTTCAAATTTTTTTGAAAATCTTGAAAAAAATATTTTATCTGAAATTTTGATTTGTTTTTGAAAATTTTGAATTGTGGAAAATTGAAGAACTAAATTTGTTAAAATACAAATTCGAGGGTTAATTCACGGATAAAATAGGTATGGTATATATTGTAGTGCTATGTTACGGATCTAAATTCGTATGAGTTGGTAGTAATGAACTGCCAAAACCTATTATTCAAAAAAACTAGTGGCATCGTGTCTTAAGGAAAATTGCTGGAACTTTTTGTACTATAATTAAAATATTTGTTTTGAATTTTTTTTAAATTTAATATTTTTTTCAAGATTTGATTTTAATCGGAAATTTTGACATTTGGGCAATTTGAAGAACTAAATCTGTTAAAGTCAAAATTTAAGGGTCAATTTTTGAATAAAATAGATACGTTATATATTACAGATTTATTCAGTTCATCAATTTGGCCAAAGTTCGAAATTTTCAAAATATTTCAAAATTCCAAAAAAATATTTTTTACGAAATTTTCAAAAAAAATAATGTTTTTAAAATATTATTATTTCATTAAAAAATTGGTCTCTTACCTCATAGACTGTGATTTTCCCTAACATGAACTTGACCTTGACCTCTGACCTTGACATTAATGGTTTGTCTGTACCTTTCGTGTCTGATATTATTTTTCTGCCCATTAATTTAATTTCTCCTATGTAAAAAAGCAATAGATTTTAATGAAGAAGCAAATATTTGTTCAATTACTAATGGTACTAATGGTTATTTTATGATCCCATAATGATTTGTTGGTTGAATAAACTTTTTGTCTCTACTCATTATGAAAATCTTTATAAAGATTGGTAATGATAATTATCATTTCATCAATTATAATTGATGTAATATATATATATATATATATATATATATTATAATCAAAGTTTTGAAAA